CATTAAATAAAATGTCTTAATCAAACCGCCCAAATTAACACGAAAACCAAATTAAAGTTTAATTGATTTGGTTAATCGAATTAACCAAATAACATAACATTACATGAAAATAATTATCATGCTAATGAATAAACCAATAACATAACATTACTTGAAGAGTTATCAAGATGAAGGCATAAGTTGTCAGTTCGATTGCCTCTCCCTCTCAATCTAGGGTTCAATATTATGATGAGTGGGAATTGAAAATGGGGATTGAGGACAACCAAACGTTTGGTTTTGTTTACACTATGTTTGGGAAAGAGGTGCAAATGGGAGGAGTAAACACAATTTCCAATAAATTTGCACCCGTTTGGTTAATTTATAACAGTAGGGGGTGCAAAACGGGGGTGCAAATTTACTATTTCGGCTTACCTCCTAATTGGGGCGCATGAGAAGGAAGGAAGAAAGGAAGAGGGGGAGGGGGGAGAGGGGAGAAATTATTTTTCTAATAATTTTTAAATTATTTTATAATTATATAATTAATACTAATATTTTTTTGTTATAGTTATCATTAATGTAGATATGTTCGGGGTTGACCGTTAGACTACGAGAGCAAATTTATCAATGTTCGTCTAGTCAAATCGAGATCTCTTGGTTGACTCGAATTTGCGTTGAAAATTGGAGATAAGAAGTGATTATGGAAAATGTAGCGAGAAACGGTTTCGTTGACTCAGTTTACTTGACTAAATAGATCAAACTTACATATTCAAACTAAGTTTGACAATATTCAATTTAAAGTTAAATTATACACGAGAAACATGTAGGATGACCAATTACGAGTTGAGCTTCGAGGTCGTTCGATGAATGATTATTACAGTTGCTATAATCGATTATAATTTGAGCATCATTATATAATAATTATTTTATTAAATTATGTTTATTATTATGTAATAATATTTTATAAATCTATTTTATAATAATATAATTACTCACTTTTCACTTTATTTGCACCCCTCTACTTTTTCATCCAAACAACAATTTACCCCTCCACTTGCAACCCCACCAATTTGCATCCTCCAATAATTTACCCCTCAACCTGTACCCTCCTCGAATTTGCACCCCGTTGTTGCCAAACATAGTGTAAGTGTAAAGAGAGCCCCACTTGATGGTAGGGGGAAGTGGAGATTATCATATTGTTTTGGTTTAGTAAATAAGAAGCCCATTTAATTTTTGGCCCATAATGTTTTGGTTTGTTGTGCACATGGAAATAAAATACGGAATCACGAAAATTTGGTTGGTTGGTTGTATGGAATTATAAATAATCATTTATATTAGGAGTATCATTAATTGGTTAATTGGTTTTATTGGTTAGCAATGTTAGAAATCAAAACACCTAAACCAAATAAGCTAAATTGTTTAACCAAACCAAACCAATTATTCAAATTAACCAAACGAAATTAACCGAATAGTATCGGTTAATATAGTTACCACGATAACCATACCGTTTGAACACCCCTATGTATGAGTATGACAACATGAACATGAGTGTTGAGTATTTTTCTCAGATTCGATCTGCTGCCATTCCTACTGTTGAGATTCGAGAAGTGATTAATTCTAATAGCTATTACATAAGTTGTAATCAGGTCGGAAACATTTAAGCACATCAACTATATTTAGTATTTTCAGCATTGTTGTCGGGCAAAATTTTATTTTTGTTCCTTTTTTAAAGTCTGTTAATAATTTAGATACATCGATACAACATTCATAGAGAATGGATAGGCTGTAGCCTGTAGGCATAGAGAGTCTTTCTTCTTTTTGGGTTTTGTGACTCATTGATGGATTCGATTTGTTTCAACGTATGCTAAATAAATCAACCTCTACTTAATTGTCACATGTCAAATTCTAATGTGTGTTTCTCTGCCAAACCAAATATCCACCGTCAGTGTCGAATTTGTTTCCGGCGATGTTGATTCGGTTGTTTCGCCGTGAAAATTTTTGCGGTGCGGTTTGATCGGACGCACCACTGAATGTTGAAATCAAAACGACCGTCAAATATCCACCGAACAGTGTTGATTTGATCGGTAACTCTGACTTCTGAAAACGAAGACGATCGTCAAATATCCACCGGGCGGTGTTGATTTGATCGATGCACCTCTGACTTCTGAAAACCAAGACGATTGTTAATCGGTTCACACCTCTCCAAACAATGTTTGAATGAGGGTGTTTGAGTTTTTGGGGGAATTTACGTTACGACCAATGCAGTTAAAAGCGCGATTCTACCTAGAAGCGGAAAATGCGTAAAATCGTAAAACGTAGAATCAAAACGAAAAAGCGTAAGTTTTTTACGCACTCTCTAAAATAGCTAAAAATATATTAACTAACAACATATAGTATTTAAAATGTGAGTGTGTAGATTTGAGATAAGTGAAAAATTACATGAAATTCATAATTAAAATGTAATATCTAACACATAAACTAATTTGTGTTGAGTCAAAAGTAGAGAAAACTCATAACATCTTAATAATAAGCTCATAAACGTAGATCGTAACCCATAAACGAGCTTGAGAATCCAAATTCTCATAAGCTGGTTTGAGTTTACATAATTACATACGATCAATTACCCATAAACTTTTATCGTAGCCCAGGTAAGAGCCACAGGTGAAGATTAAGGGAGAAGACTTATAGAAGGTCAGCGGTTGTTGAGAATACCATTAGGTGTCTTTTCAATCTAATGTGAAGCCCTTATCTCGACACTAGTTGTAGAACGAGTGATAAATCATGTTTTCCTTTTTTTAATTTTTGCTAATATGTCTCCAAAATGACATCATTTTGGGCCAATTAGCACATTTTTATGAGATGATCAAAATCGTATAATAAGGCTCAAGATTTGCGATTTTACCGATTTTAAGCGATTTTACCGATTTTAAGCGATTTTATACCAGTTTTTGTGTCTAAGCGACTTTAGCTAGAATCTGGAACGTTTTGGTGTTCTGGATACGTAAAAACGTAAGTTTTTACGTTTTAATGCGCGATTTTGACTGCACTGGTTACGACTACTCCCAGCGGCGGATCCAGAACACAGAAGAGCACTGGGCCGAGTTTCATTAGAAAATTGAATAGTAAAAAAAACATAATGATTATAGTTTTTTTCCAATGTAAATTGTACACGGCGGTATATTAATTTAGTGATGCATCAATAATGGAGCCTACATCCATACCAATAGTATACACTGTTTCAAATAAAATACTTGAGCAATCGGCAAGAAATTCATCGCTCATTTTGTTTAGCAAATCAGTTCTCACATATTTCATTGTTGAAAAGGTTCTCTTCGTAGTAGCTGTTGAAACGAGCAGCATTAACACTAGACAAATCAATCGGCATTTTGTGTCAATCCCTGCATCCACCAACTGCTCTAGTAAGTTTTCAAGGGAACAAACCTCATATTTCTTTTAGTCTTTTACGTTTTAAACTATTAGAATTTTAGGTTTCATTGTTTTTTTTATATGCATAATCTTTGGCGCTAAAATTTAAAGGCTAAATTTAGAGTAGTGATTTGAATATGGTCATCTGAATCATTTTTCTAGTTATACCCAATTTTATTATAAAATCACACTAAGTCGAATGCCTAAAATCGAAAAATTCATAAGGACTATACTAACTACGGATCCAGAGGAGGGCTGGGCCGGGGCCCGGGGTGGCCACCCCCTGGATCCGCCACTGAGTACTCCTATGGAGATTCCTATGGAGAGCTCCGTGACTACGCTATGACTACGAGTATGGAGATCTTTCATGGAAGGAGAGCTCCGCGAGGGAGTTACAAAGAAAAAAGGTAAAGTTTGACAAATGTGTTTATGTGTTGATTTTTGGTTTTTTCTTTCTCATTCCTTGCTCCACTGCTTTTATCGAAAAACATCTTCGTAGTCTTCATGCCGCTCCTTGTCAACTGCTTCGTCGTCCGGAAGAACTCCCACGTGTCTCAACTGCCTCGCTCTCCTCAAACTACTTCGCATGAACTTTATGTGCAAGAAACCGTTATTTTCATGAATCTGCAACGTTGCTCTCCACCAACAAAGTTTCCATAGCGACATCGTTGAACCCCTTCACGACATTGCTCAGCTTGCAACACCGTCAAATTGTCGTTCAACTCGGCGATATAGTTTTAGCCTTGCGGCATCGTTGAACTTTGTGGCGTTGTCGAACTCGCAACGCCGCTCAACTTGCAACATCGTTACCACATTGTTGTTGAAATCGCGGCATAGTGATCTTACCATACCGCAATAATTTGGTATATAAAGTTAAAATAATTATAGGTGTAAACAGTATCATAGTTGACTTTGAACTCGCGACGTTGTTTTGGACTAAACAACGTCGTTGAACTCGGCGGGGCTGCCCTTGGGCCAAGCTCTTCCCCTACTGTGATTTTGATTTTAACTAAACACCATCGCTTACCAACACCACGACATTGTTTAACTTGCAAGGTCGTGGGGATCGCGACGCTGTTGAGCTTGCGACCTCGCTAAACTCCACGACATTGTCCAACTTGATCTATCGGATTCGTTGCACTTTTCAATCTCATACAACTTACGGCATCGTTGAGATTCGCGGCGTTGTCAAACTCGCGATACCGCGACAATATAATTTTAGGACAAAAATATTTTAGGTGTAAATGTTTTCAACCTAGAACATTATTCTGCATCCCAAAAGTAACCAATTTCCTTTTAAAATAAAATAATAACTTTAATAAAAATTGTCACTCATCAAATTCCTCGAGATAACTATCTAAATCTTCCTCATAAAATACAAAAGAAACCGAAGCCCAAATGAATTTCAATTCAAATCTTCCAAAAGAAAGTAAGAAACCGAAGCCAGCGAAGGGGTGGAAAGCTACCATTGGAATTACCATTTGACTTTGGGCTTGGTGGTTACGAGCCCAGATGATTTTCCTTAGCGAGCAAGAACGAAATGAAAGCCCAATAAGATCAGATATAAAAGTTTATCCGTCCTACTTGGACAAACAATTGGCTTGGTCGATGTTCACTTACCCAGTCCACTGGGCTTGGTCGATGTTTGCTGTACCGGCCCAAAGTAAGGGTTGCTGAAAATTGACAATCACACAACTCACAAGTCAGCCCAATGCCCGTTTGGCGAATTAATCGTAGTATGTTTGGGAGTTAGGGTTCCCTGAAGTAGAGATCAGAGAGACATGGAGGAGTGGTCGGATCGGAGATGAGACAATGGTTTCCAGCTTGGTGGGAGTTTGGAGTAGAGGAAGAGGCTGAGAATAGGAATGATAATTACGGGTAAAATATTCTAAACCCAAGTAGATCTATTGATTATGGATTTGATAAGAGTAGTGGAGGAGTTATAAATTTAAATAAAGGAGGGTTGACTTGCATTCTCGTTATTGGGGGAGGGGGACTAAAATCTTACTGACTATTCGAATTCGTAATTTACATGTAATTATACATGCATTTCAAAGTTGGGGAGGCTCCAACCCCTCTTTTCGACAGAGTAGGATATTACTTCCATAATCTAAACGTGTATGAGTTGGGTATGAATACCTTATACTTGAGGGTGTTTTAACTACACATACCAAAATTAGACCTATTTGTAAAACTTAAAAAGTTTATGTTCCAAAATGTAATGCGCCCAAATTATATTTTGCAAATGGGTATGGGTACAAACTCAAATCCATGGATTAAAAATCCAATCGAACTCAAATAAATGGAATGAATACGAACCCATCAAATTCTATCTATTTACCATCTATTTATGAGGCTCCAATGACCATAGATCGAATCTATCCAATTTTTACAGTGCGCTGATTGGCTTGAATTTCATACTCAACCCAATTGGGTCGGATAGTAACATACCAATGAGTATGAGCAAAATTGTCATCTCTAGTTAAGAATTGTTAAAGTTGGAACAAACACAGAAAAAGAAGGATTTCAAAATAACTTAGGAGAGTCAGGTAGTTTTAAATCCTTCATTTGCACGTTTTAGAAAAATGTTATGGACAAAATCACTAATTTTTATTAGCATAGCCAAACACAAAAATATAATGAAAATTGAGAGTTTGAGGAATTATGCACTACAAACCCATCCAAACTACCCGTAGGAGAACTTGGTTGTTCTTCTGGGTATTTATTTTGGATTTTGAAGCTTTTTCTTTTGTCTTCTCTGATCTGCTTGTTTAGGGTTGGACTGATATATTGTTGTATGAGTTCCTCAATTCTTTAGCCAACCTTTGTGTTCTTCGTTACACTTTGATCTAACTCTGTAACACTTTCCTATTTCTTAAAGAAATCACACATCATGAAAAAAAATCTAAAATCATTGAGAAAATCTTAAGAAAGCAGCTCTTTGCAATTTTATAGACAGAGGTACTATTGCTCTCAAAAGGCGAAGTGAACAAAGGGCTCTATTTGAGGCTTCCACATGACACTTCTTCTCTTCATACATGCGTCACCCATGACGTGGATGCAAATCCATTCCTTGGCTGATAATTAGATGTTAACCACATAAAAAATTAATCATAATCAAATATATATGATAAATGCTAGCATACTAGTGATAAGATTAATCATAATCAATATGATAAATGCTAGCATACTAGTGATATTTTCCAATAATAGCAGTACTAGTACTTAACTTTAAACAGAATAATTAGGAAGAAAAGTACACATTCCTATTTCCCACATCTGTCTAATCAAAGCCTAATTGTATGTATTTATTTGATTTCCATATTAAAGCTTATATATATATATATATATATATATATATATATATATATATATATATATTTATTTATTTATGTCCAGGAATCTCTTGTCTTATTTGATGTTAATAAAAAAATCAGGGACGAAAACTTTTAGCAATGGCTTCCAACTTTTTAACAACTTTCTTTCAAATTAAGCAGTTTTTTATTTCATAACTTTTCATTTTTTTAAGGAAAAAAATAGTTTATGATAGGATCTAATTGTCATATAATTATTATATATATTAATGGCTGAAGATTTTAACAAACTTCCCAATCTTTGCAGTTTTCAATTGAAAAAGAAACGATCTCAATCAATGAAGATAAAGAGAATTGGAGAACGTATTTAACTATATGTGATACTAGATGGAGATGCCGCGTCATGTTGCGGGGCGGAAATGGTCAATGGATATGTATTATGTGGCTTGTTATGTTGTTTTGTTATTATTATTAGCCTAAAATTAATATTTGTTAACAGTTTTGTTAGTAATATTGACTTGAAAATATGATATTGAGTGAGAAGAGATATACGACGGTCAACAATTAATTTAAAATTTTTGAAAATTTTGGCTAACAAATGATATTTACCTGAACCCAAGTAGACCCATTGATTATGGAAAGGGTATGAGTGACGTATATATGAGGTTTGAAGTTTGTAGATGAGGTTGGGTAGGGTATGTATATTTAATTTCATAATCTAAATGTGTATGATTTGGGTATAGATACCCATTTATTTGAGGGTGTTTTAATTACACATACAAAAATTAGGCATATTTATAGAACTTCAAAAGTTCAAGTACTAAAATGTAATACACTAAAATTTTAGGTACTAAATTATAATGTTCCATCAATATTTTGAGGACTTATATGCCGAAAAAATTAGGTTATAAATCTAAAGATCTATTAAGTTTAGGTACCCAATTGTAATTTGCATAGTTGAGACTTAATTCCTTTTATGGTGATGTATTTAGGATGATAATTATTTACTATTTATTTGATATGTATAAATGTTGAAAATTTCATGTATAATATTGAAAATTCTTGCCCGGGTGAAAAAGAAAAATTCTAGAGAGAAGCAAAAGGAATATAAACCGAAACTCGCTTAAAATTTCACGCCTTCAAATCTCGTAGTGCAAAATGACGAATTTCTAATAAGTAATAACCACATATATATTTTTTAATTGAACTCGACATTGATGGTTCAATTATTAATTCTCTAGATTGTTGGTCAACCGTGTATGGACTTGTTCATACTTGTGATTAGAATACATAAAATACTATACTAATTAGGGTTAGATGAAGAAGACAAAGAAAGAAATAATGAAAGGGTTATGGAAGGCGAGTGAATAATGAAAGGAAGAGGAAGTAGATAGTAGAAAGGTTTTGACCAATTCTTTTAGTTGGCCATCAATACAACAGTCAACCATTTTCATCATACCAATTTATTGAAACTTGCTTATGTAGATGTCGCATATTTTGTTACATGTATTTAGTAGAAGTTTTTTTAGTACCCCGTAAATATACTAAATTAGTTTATAAATTCGTTCTTGCAATATTTTAGAATCGTCTATCTTTTTATCATTTTTTAATGTTTCACGTAATGAACAAATATAAAATGGTTGAATCTTCTCCTACAATTGAGTGATACAATATCTTGTATGATACAAACTATATTTATACTTTTATGTTATGGGCGATTGCATTCATGGATTGGTTCACAAGGATTAGCGGATTGGATTCATGGATTCAAGTGAAATATAAACATTGGACCAGTATGTGAATATCAAAATTGTAGGTACGGAAATCTCATAAAAATTAGATACCAAACATAATTGTTCAATAATTTTACACTAAAATTAAATTTAGGGTATCAAAATGTAAAATATACATTATAATGACTAAGTTGTAGTTTAATAAAATTTGAGGTATCAAAATAGCATATTTTTAGACAACAATAACTATTCTTCAGCATTCAACGAAAAAAAAACCATACTTCAGCTTTATATATATTAATATGTTTCAATATTGGAGTAAATTGCATGTAAGTGGTGGGAATAATAAGAAAGTGTAAAATTCCATTGCCTTAGAGTAATTATTTGTTCTCTGCTTTACTACACAAGTCAATGCAGGATCAACTTTGTGACGTCAACTCGTCAAACACAGTCACAAATTTAGATAAATGAATCCAACGTAAAAAAAAAAAAAAAAGCATAACATAATTTATACTGATATGTTAAAACACACATTTGAAGTCATATAAACATTACAAGACATCCTTCAATGTGTTGGTGGAAATTCAAAATTTTGGTTTTTTTATGAGGAGGTCCTAGTTTTGATTCTAACTATTGGAAAGCCCTTATATGCAGTGGCGGATCTAGAAATTTTTAACAGGGTGTCCTCTTCCAAAAGAAATAAAATAAAATAAATAATTCATAAATAAAAAAATATCGAACTAGTACAAATTTTAACATAAGTCCACGACGTGTTTTTATTTTCTGAAAAAGAATAACAAATAGGCTTGGTAAATTGCTCAACAAATCTGTATATCCCACTAGACAATAGTTCACGAACTGATCGCATATGGATTTCTAACCTTGTTATTGATGTAACTCAAAGTTGAGACTCTTTCAACACTTGTTGTGTAACCATAAAATCAATTCAAATTAAGGGCTTATTAAGGGTAGCTCGTAATTAGTTTAATTGTTAGGTTTTGGAAATAGTTGGGGATAAGGAATAAATTTTTACTATTATGTAGTGTTTAAAATAGAACAACATCAAGACTGGGCGCTGCTTAGGGTTGGGCCGGCCTGTAGTGGCCCAAATGTTAAGGTCCAGACTGTTACCTTTACCTTGTGTGTTTAATTTTTTTGGGCAAAGCCCAGCACTATGTTCTCTATTTTGGCATGTTCATAGTCCGATTTTGGAAAATAGTCTGATTAAGAAAGAACTAGTTGATTCTAAACAAATTCCTACTCCTTTGTGGCAGGTGACTACAATGGCTCGTGTGGCGGAAAATCAAGTGGTTGAATTTTCACTCGATGAAGTGCAATCTGTGAAATTCCGAACTTCGAGGACTCTCTTGGGGAGACTTTTTTCGGAAACCATTTTCACTGCTAATGAATTGAGGGAGGGCCTGCTTGATGTTTGGCGGGTGCAAGGAAACCTTCGGGTATCGGTCACGAAATTTGGGCTTTTTGAAATTATTCTCCCAAGTGATGAGATGCGGGTTTGGCTGCTAAAAAGATCGCCATGGATTATTAAGGACAGGATTCTACATCTTCGGTCCTGGACGTCCGCTATCACAAGGCCTGTTTTTGATGATTTGGCCATTGCTCCTTTCCGTGTGCAGCTATGGAATGTAAAAGAAGACTGTTGCACGGCGCAGTTTGGCCGGAAAGTGGCAGCGGGGATGATTGGTCAAATCTTGGAGTCTGATGTCTTTGCGGCCAAAGACTCTGAGGAACGCTTTGTGAAGGTGCATGCTTTAATTGACTTTGCCAAGCCTTTGAGGTCTCAGTTTGTGGCGGCTAGTGAAGAGATTGGTCGATTCTGGGTACATCTCAAATACGAGTTTTTGCCAACCTTCTGCTACCACTGTGGTCGAGTAGGGCATTCAAAGCCGGAGTGTGTTTTTGGGCCCCCTTCTGGCCAGGAACGGTTTGGGCCGCACATGTCTACTCGGAAGCCGGGAAGGAAGATTTACAGGGAGGATGAAGAATACCTTCAGTTTCGTAATGCCAGCAGATCAGTGTGGGTGAATAAGAATACTCATTTTCCCAAGGATGGGAAGGAGAAGGCTGCTAGCAGAGACCTGGGCACTGATACCCGCCCTCTTTCCCAGGCGGCGTCTCATCCTGCCCCAAGAGGGTCGGAAACTCAAAAGAAGAGAGTGGTACAGAATAGGCAGCAGGCCCCTGCTAAAACATCCTTTGGGGGTCGGGCTAGTCCCCAGCATTTGGTCGTTAAGAAATCTCCTCGGGTTAAGATTGCTGGAAATATTCGACACCATCAGAAGAAGGCGTCACCCAGGAAGGTGGTATCACCTCCTCGACAGGGCACTAAGGTGCGCCGGCAGCCTAGCCGGCGGGCCAAGCAGACTGAGCAATGCCAGCAGGTAGCGGGGCAAATGGCGGAAGCTTTCGAGCAATCAAGGAGGCGCAGGCTGATATTACAGGAGGAATCTGAGGAGGAAGAGGAGGAGATTATGGTGGGTGGAAGTAGTCCCTCTATGAAGCAGCGTACCCCTGCTGATCTGGCAAAGGACCTTGACATGATGCCCAAGGCTCGCCCTCGTCTTCGTAAAAGAGGGGCAGATTGTCCTCCTCCATCGGCTCACAGGGAGGGGGGCTCTTCTCCTTCTGGAGATCTGGTTGGCTTGGAGGATAAGGAATCTGTGGATACAGTGGAAAAGTCTGCTGCGATAGAGCACCCGCAGGACTTTGACTCTGAAGAGGATCAGACAGCTGAGGATCATCATTCCTTTGAGATTAAGAGAAGATCGCCAGCTGCGGCCACCAGGAAAAATCGCCATACCATGAAAGGGCGTGTGCACCAGGTGATGGAGGCTTTTGAAGCTGGGCTAGTTATTGCAAGAGAGGAAGATGGGGGGGGGGGGGTCATGGACAGGGGTTCAGAGCTGAATGAATATGGGTCTAATTTGATGGACCCTATCATGGAGAATAGGAAGCGTGTGCTGGATGAATTGGAAGGGGATGTGGGGAACCCTCCTACTCCAAAGAAGCAGTTTGTGGAAGCGATTGAGGATCTGGAAAAGGTGGAGGAAGCCAGCCTTGAGTGGCCCCCAGAGGATAAATGAGGCTTCTCGCCTAGAATGTGAGAGGAATTGGGCCGTCCCTCACGTTCCAGTCTGCTTTAGGGCTTGTTCATTCCAATAAACCGGATCTCTTGTTTTTCTCTGAGACGCGATCGAGCCGCCGTGTAGTGTCCCGGCGTATGCGGGGTCTAGGTTTTGATTTTTCCCATTGTTTTTTTCTAGATGCAGTCGATGCATCAGGAGGTTTAGTATTTGCTTGGGCCCCCGGAGTTGACACTTCGGTGCTTTGTCATTCTAATTTTTATATTTGTTCGCAAATTAATGAAGGAGATTTTTCTTATGTTGTGATCTTTGTTTATATTAGTTGTATTAGTGCTGTTCGAACTTCCCAATTGACCCAATTACGTGCCGTTTGTGCGACCTTTAATCACCCTTATGTGGTCATAGGTGATTTCAATGCTACTCTGAATGAGGGTGAAAAAGATGGGGGTCGGGATTGGAATGTTTCCCAAGGTCTTAGTCTCCGTGAATTTATTCATGATTTGAGTCTCCATGATCCTGGTTACCAAGGTGATCCATTTACATGGACTAATAAGCGAATGGGAGACGCTTGCATTCGTGCTCGTCTGGATAGAGCGGTTTGCTCTCAGTCTTGGATGGACACATGCCCAGAGACGATAGTCAAACATTTCACTGACCAGGGTTCAGATCATCGTGCCCTTTTGCTGGCTGATAAACCTTTTGTTCGGACAAGTCGGCCTCTTTTCCGTTTTGATGCCCGCTGGGCAGATAATCCGGAGGTTAGGGCCATGGTTAACTATGTCTGGCAGGAAGAAATTCAAGGCACCCCTATGTTTCGACTGTGGGAGCGTCTAAAGAAACTCCGTCATCTGTTATATGATTGGAGTAGAGCGGGCACAACTAATTCCCTACGTAATATTAAAACGCTCCAGGGCGAGATTGATAGGGTAAAGTCGATCCACCCAGTTCATTGGGATGAGATCAGGACGCTGGAGATGGAGCTCTCCCGTCAGTGGGAAGCAGAGGAGATGTTCTGGCAGCAGAAATCCAGAGTTAAATGGTTAAAAAAAGGAGATAAAAATTCGTCCTATTTCCATACGGTTACTAGGGCTCGGAGGAAGAGGAATTTCGTTTCTGGTCTTCGGAATGAGGAGGGTGAATGGGTCACTGAGGAAACCGGGAAGGCTTCTATTGCCACCAATTTTTATCAGACTTTGTTTACATCGGAAACACAGGTTCCTAATATGACTGAGAGGGTGGCAAATCTGCCAATTGCCCGTACTGTTACTCCTCAAATGAATGCTCAATTGACGGCAGAGGTCTTGCCTAGTGAGGTCCGGAGTACGGTCTTTTCCATGGGTTCGAAACAGGCCCCGGGGTCGGACGGCTTCACAGGGAAGTTCTTTAAAGCTTTCTGGGATATAGTGGGCACTTCGGTAGTTGAAGCAGTAATCTCCTTCCTTACTTCGAGTCAGTTGCTGCAGAGCTTTAATCATACCTGGCTCACTTTGATCCCTAAAGTGGAATCGGTGGAAACAATTAGACAATTGCGCCCGATTAGTCTCTGTCAGTTTGTTTACAAGGTAATTACCAAAATCATGGCTGAACGACTGGCTAGCATGCTCCCGCAGATCGTGTCGGAGGGACAAAATGGCTTTATCAGGGATCGGCAGATCATTGATAACATCCTTATAGGACATGAACTAATGCATTACCTGAAAATAAAAACGCAAGGGAAGAAGGGGTACATGGCTCTGAAGGTTGACATGGAAAAGGCCTATGATAGAGTCGAATGTCCCTTCTTGCTTGCTGTTTTGGATAAGATGGGCTTTAGTTCAGTCTGGCAAGGATGGATACATGAATGTCTCCGATCTTCCTCTTTCTCGGTTCTCATGAATGGTACGCCCTCGGGATTTTTCACGGCCTCTAGGGGTCTTCACCAGGGAGATCCGCTCTCGCCTCTCTTGTTTGTTCTTTGCACGGAAGGGTTTGCAGCCCTAATCTGGCAGGCGATCACGGAGAAAAAACTGGAGGGGGTGAAAGTAGCTCCTCGTGCTCCAAGAATCTTGCATCTATTCTTCGCAGATGATTCTTATTTGTTCTTGCGTGGTTCTCTGCAGGAGTGCGAGAATTTGATTGAGGTGTTGAATGAGTATGAGGAACTGAGTGGTCAACGCGTTAATTTGGATAAATCGGCAGTGTGTTTTAGTAAGAATATTTCCTCGCCTGATCAAGAATTCTTGGCCACGATTCTAGGGGTTGGTGCGGTGGGGGTCCATGATAAATATCTGGGGCTTCCAACGCTGGTTGCCCGTTCCAAAACGGCTACATTCAGATATTTGGAGGAAAAACTTTTAGAGCGGCTTCAGGGGTGGAAGCAACGGACTTTGTCATGGGCTGCTAAGGAAACATTAATTAAATCCATAGCGTTGGCGCTTCCACTCTATGCTATGTCCTGCTTCCGGCTTCCCCTGGCTCTTTGTCGCCTTTTGGATAAGCATCTGGCCCGGTTTTGGTGGGGTGTGGAGGATGGGCATCCTAAGATTAGATGGGTGTCCTGGCGTAACATGTGCAGGAGTAAGCATGAGGGGGGATGGGATTTCGCCAGTTCGAACACTTCAATCAAGCTCTTTTAGCTAAGATAGGCTGGCGTATCCTCAATGAACCTCAATCACTTCTTGCTCAGGTCTACAAAGGCAAGTATTTCCCTCAAGGGTCTTTTCTGACTGCGACCGCTAGATCTCGGCCCTCTTGGGGGTGGCAAAGTATCCTTCATGGGCGTCAATTATTGGAAAGAGGATTGAGATGGCAGGTTGGCAATGGTCAATCGATCTCACTTCTCCAGTCTGACTGGATTCCTGGGTATCAGCTGGATCCTCCTTCCTATAATCCTCGGGTCTTGCCTGAGGGGGGCGATCCCTTGGTGGCGGAGGTTATTAGTGAGGGGGGAGGGAGGTGGTCTGATGAAATGCTTAGTCAATGGTTTGATCCACCCACCTGTAAGGCTATTAAAACTATTGCCCTCCCGTGGCGGGATATACCCGATAAGCTCATCTGGCATTGTACGGCTGACGGGATCTTCTCGGTTAAGACGGCATATCATCTGGCTGTTAATTTGGACAGAAGAAGGGGGGGTGGCGTTCCTCGGTTAGCTGGATGGATAAGCAGAGTTGGATTAGAGTTTGGGAGGCAAAAATCCCTCCGAAGTTGAAGGTTTTTGTTTGGCAAATTCTGAATCGGGCTCTGCCGACTATGGAGGCGCTTATTGAGAAAAAGGTCCAGGTGCTACCTCGGTGCCCAGTCTGTTGGGATGGCCCGGAGAAAATGGAACACTTGTTCCTTTATTGTCCAGTGGCGCGTGCTCTCTGGGACTATTCTGGGCTGGAGTACTTGGGAGAGGGTCTGCCTCGGCAGACTTTTCCTCTCTTTCTTAAGCGTCTGTTGGGTTTGATCCAGCACCCGTCGGTGGTTATGGCTGTTGTTGCCGTCCTTTGGAGGATCTGGCGATCTCGGAATTGGGTGGTCTTTGAAGGCAAGCAATTTGAGATCCCGGCCCTTATGCGTCAGTTTCATCAGCAGTATGAGGAATGGGTGGGGATACCAGTGGACCAGACGCCTAGGGCCCAAGCCCCGATTTTGCGATCTGCAGAACAATTAGATGATTCTCATTTGGTCTGTATGTGGGATGGGGCTACTAAGGGTGGGTCTCATTCGGCTGGTGGGATGGTTCTTTTTGGTCCTGGGAGGGCACTGCTAATGGTTAGGGGAATCCAGTTTGCTCAAACGGACAATCCTACAGTGGTGGAATTGCTTGTTCTTCGCGAGGCTATTATTTGGTGTATGGAGCAAGGTTTGTCGGCAGTCCGATTTGAGGGCGATACGAAGGTGATTATTGACAAAATTAATAAGGCCGACACAAGAGATAGCCGGTTGGGTGCTGTGCTTTAAGAGATTGTTCTTTATTTTCGTGCTCAGTCTGGCTTTAGTGTGCGTTTTGTAGGTCGGGAGAACAATAGGGTAGCTCATTTGGTAGCTAGGAAAGCCCTCTCTTTGTATCCGACTATGAGTCGCTTCTTTGATTTCCAGACCTGGCTGGTTTCCAGGGTGTAACTGTCTTCTGCTATGATCAATATATGATATCTTTTAACAAAAAAAAAAAGAAAAAAAATAGAACAACAAATGAGTTGCAACTTAATGGAGGACAATGTTTAAATAATATAGTATATTCTAAGTTTGAATAACACAGATTATCGCTTATTTTTTTAAGCATACGCAAGCTACTACTGAGGATAGGATTATCGTTGTAGGAGTGTCTCGAATCACTAATTATAATTTTTATATCCATACAAAACTATTACCAGGAGTTGAATAATCGTATTCCCAAATTTTAGGGGGTGTCCCGGGACACTCTAAACCCTTATGTATCCGCCTCTGCTTATATGTAATTTTTATGTGGTCTTCCGGCCACAACGTGATGCAAATAATCCACTTTTGTATGAGATGTCTTCGCCATTGGTGGAACATCTAAAGAGTGTTTTCCTCATATATGAAATGTTATGGAGGTTTATGCTGCACCATTCGTTTTGGGCGTCACGGAAACATTCTAGTTTTAGGTAATCGGTAGACTATGACCATAAAATAAAAAGAACACGAATAACCATCATACGCACGCTCATGGTTATGATTATGAACTTGTACATTAACATGAATTACCTTAAAAAAGTGTGAACACAGAATTGACTCACAATAAGGGTGATCTTTTTCTGCATAGCAAAATGACAAATGAAGTATGTCTAAAGTCTAAACACGAGTTTGAATAATAATAAAAAATCTAGACACGAGTTTCTACTAAGACAAGGATGTGCATATTCCAAAAATTATATTACCAACGGTGACATGTGCCCTAAACAAAAGTGAGCCATAAATAAAAGTTATCACGCCGAAATTCTCCAGAAATAGCACCATTTTAAAAAAAATTACAAAAATAGCACCCAATTGACAAAAATTCCAAAACAAGCACCATTTTTTTCAAAACCGCACATTGGCCGTGCGGTTTACATATAAACCGCAACCTGAGGGTGCAGTTTGAGTTTCAGGGACTAAACCGCATCTTGGCCAACGATTTGCATTCTGACCTAACAATACCGCGTCTTGGCAAGGCGGTTCTTAGGCTGACCTAGCAGAACCGCCTGCTGAGGATGCGGTTCTGTTTCTCTATCCCAAACCGCATCCTCAGGGGGCGGTTTTGCCATTGCGACACACAAACCGCACCCCATGCGGTTTGTGTGTCGTCCCCATTTTTTCGACATCCAGCATATT